ATAATTTAATAAAAATAAAATAAAAAGATTTTATAATCTGAATCGGATAAATATAATTTCAGCCACTATAAGGAACAACATGAGAATTTATTAAGTTAAGAGAATAAGATGTTTAATCGAACATATGCTTCGTTAAGGCTATACATATATAACGAATGATTTAATCAAATCTTTCATTTGATTTGTAATTAAAATGAGTTGATGATAAATTACGTAAATGCGATCTTTAATATATTCGAACGTGTTTCTTGAATCGAATCTCATTGAAGAAGTATTATTAATCAAAACTGCGCATATCGTGTTTTATATTAAAATAATGTAAAAAAATAAAACGTTATAAATGTTGTAGAATTCGTCCGATAGATATGATAACACTAAAAAGATAAAAATATTCAAATCGTAATCGTAACGTCCCGTAATAAAAATTTTATAATTTTATAAATTATGTAACATATAAAATTGCATTATGATCATCATTCTCAAAGACATAAGTATTTTTCCTATCGTAAAACGTACAAGATGGCTGATAAGATTGAAGATTAAGATTTTTAAATGATCAAATGTTACGTAAAACAATAATTATTATCAAACTTTTACAACTACAAAAAATGTAAGTATGAAATAAAAGTGATATCGTGATGTACAAAAGTATATTTAAACTTGTTGTAAAACGAATTAGATGTACATATTATTTAGATATATGTAAATATCTACATATATCTACATATACGTATATATATATATATATACTGTGAATTCGTTATGATAGCATATATAATTACTTAGAAATTAATATTATTGGATATTATTGAATATTATTGAAAAATTAAAAGTTAGTAAAATTTAAAGTTAGTAATTTAAATAAAATTTTGTACACTTTTGTTACACTTTTGTTGCACTTTTATATACATGTATATTATATAAATTAGAATTTATAAGATTTATTTATTTTATTTTATTCAATATTATTTCTAAAATACTGTTGTTCATTTAAATAATTAAAAGATCAAAATTTCAACAATACGATTTATACAAACATTTTGAAATTTTTAAATATCTTTTAATATTATAATAATTTTATAAGTTTATAAGTGAAAAAATTAAATCGATTAAAAATATAAGATCAAATTTTTTTCAGATATGTATATAGATATATACACATAAGTACTTAGATATAAGTTTGAAATAAATTCATTCAGTAATTAAACTGTTTACTACGGATCAATTATCGTTCGTTTATATTCGTCACTGTTTCGAAACACAAGCACTTGTTATCAAAGACATCTCTAGTATGTCTATGGCGATGACTTCTTTCTGTGCAACAAGTGGTTATAAGCCGGAAAGAGAAGTAGGTAGATTGATATATGCGTACACGCTTATCGTGTTTTGATAATATGTCCGTTTACATATTATGTTTTACGTGTGAACGTGATATCTCATGAAAATGAGATACATGGTGATGTTAAGTGTAATCCATGTTGCTTTCAGAGGCGAAAGACAAGCGTGAAATTAACCGTAAACGATAATTACCAAGCACTTATATGCGCGATAGTGGCGATGAAATAATGATAGCTCGAGACATGACTAGTGTTGCAAGAGTTTAAAAATTGTGATTATTATACTATATGTAAATTTATTAACAATTTGTTTTCGATGGATGTGCAAACTGTGCAACTTGGAAATTTTCGAAAAGATGATAAATATTATTGAAATTCTAGAAATCGAGAAATTTATCTGAGGATTATAATTGTATAAAAAATATAATTGATATATTTTAATTATTAATATTAATAAATAGATTTTAAATCTATCAATTTTTTATTTATCCATTATCTAATGCTTAGGAACTTTGGAATTTTTTTTCAAATATTTTATATTGATCAGAAATCTTATTTCGAATTATTAAGATTGATATTATAAATTGCAATTTTTAATATTTAATTGTATTATGTTATTTGAATTCGATCGTTTAAAAATTTTATTATAAATTTTCAAATGTAACGAAAATGTTCTAATTTGCAAGAACAAATGAGTCCAAGAATCAAGCAATACGAGATAAGACATAACAAAGGAATCGTTATATCGAAATCTACCGTTTTATAAAACTCTTACAAAATATATATATGTATAGAGTTTTATGTGCGATATTTTTTTTATGTGGATCGAATAGATATATGCATTTTCTTCTTCTATTATTTATGTAGATATATAATTTTTTTGTCTTATGACATTCTTTTTTTATATATATTTCATTTTCGAATACATTGTACATATCGATTTATTTCATTTTTATTTATATCGCAAATTTACATTATTTCAGTTTGAACGAACGAACTTATATATATAACATATTTCGTAAACAAAGGATATTTTCCAGTTACAAAATCGTCTGATATTAATATGTCTAACATCAACATGAACTTGCATTAATATTTATTTGTCTGCCTTGCGAAATGAACTGATTGAACTTTCCTTCTATGAACTTTGTCCTTTGAATAAAATTGAGCAAAGTTTCCCGATCAATGAATCATACAATTCGTTGATTAAAATACATCATCATTTAAGCCAAACGTTTTGATTGCGAATAGTTATTGTATATAGTAACGTTTCCTATACAACACGAATGTAATTAAATAATATGTATTACGTAATATGAAAATAGTGATATATAGCATGATTTTGTTAATGATTATATAATACATCTATAAATGCATATAAAAATATAAATTTTTTCTATATTTATCAATTAATTTTTAATGTAATTCTTCAAAGCCAAAATCTAGAATTGATAAAGGTAATAAAATAAAAATAATAAACGAGATATATATTAATCTCTTTAATTCCACATAATAACTAAACCAATTTCGCAATCGTATAAATAGATTTCTCATAATATTAAAAATAAATATTGAAAATAAATTAAATTTAAATTAACGAAATATCGAAATAACAAAGATATTTTGATCTCTACACATTTCTCTGAAACTTGAAAGATTATGAAGAAATGAAATAAAAAATGAAAAGGTAAAAATTATAATTCTGATCTCTATTTCACGAATTATATATAACGAATTATATTAAACGAAATATAAGATTCTAAATATAAATATAAACTTACATAAAAAATTGATCTTTTTTGATCTTGAAATTACTACATTTCTCTATATATTTTCGATACACGATACGTTCAGACTATATTTAATTAATGAATAATTGACCAATGTAAAAATTATTTAATCCGCATTTCCCGACGAATCACCGTGAAATAATAATCTTTCATCCGATATAGCGATATAGAACGACCAAGAACTGAGTTCTTGGTAAAACAGGAGCAGGATTCCTCGATAATGCATTCGTACCATTTTAATCTTTATTGCGTTCAAGTATAGCAAGTGACGAGGAAACCAGTTTTAAGAAAAAACTGATAGACGCACGATGTGAACCATAAAATGTGTATGGTAACCTCGAGACAGCGTAAACCAGCTTTTTCGTTCAAAACGAAGATTTTATCTGCCTCGTTGAACGATTGGAAAAGTCGAAGTATATCGGCTAAGAATTTCTTTCGAAAAGAAAGAAGGTTTTCCTTCAAGTTTTATAGTCGATTCGATTTTCGACATAATATGAAAGAGAGGCGGCGATTCTTATACAAAAAGCGTACAATGCCTGCAATGATAATGAAGTCATTGTATTCGCATCGATAAATTTTGTATCCAAGGATTCAATTCAGTCCCTGAGATTTACTTGATATCTGGAATAATTGTAATATAACCTAGTATTGCATAGATAAAATTTGAAAAAAATGAAAAAATATATTTAAGTATATTTGAATCGATACATTTTGTAACGAATGTTAATCGATGATGAATCGTTCGAATCTAGATTTTCAATGAAAATTCGTATATCATTTTAAATATCATTGAATCAACCGAAGAGATACTTTGCTAAGTGAATAATCAAATATCAATATGTATATTATATTGAGACTCGTTGCAAAGAAATTAATGTCCAATAAATAATACACTCAACTAATAAAACACTCAAAGAGCTTAATTAATAGGTACATCAATTTATTAAGATTTCATGGATTAATTTGTATTGTAATTACATATACGTATGTAAATAAATAAATAAATGATATATGTGTATCGTGCTCTTTGAATATTAATACTGTTAATTCTTTCCCTTGCGGAATTATGAAAATTATGTATATTTCAATTTATTTGTCAATGTATGTCATCTGAATTTTAATTAAAGAAAGTTTTATAAATAAATATGTGTATAATAAACAATTTTTCTATACGAAATAGAATTAATATTAAATACAATATGTAATGTAGATCGACGTACCATAAATGTTGGTTTGTGTATTCTTCATATCACTGGTTGCGCAGCTATTTTGTATCTTTGCGATTCGTTCACGTTTTATAATTGTTAATTGTGTGTTATCTGTAACATACGAACGATAGATATTTGAAAATGTATTTTTTATTATGCATAATTGATAATCGTTTAATAAATATATCCGAAATATTTCGACATTCGTTTCAAAATTATTCGATAAATTGTTCGAAAATAATCAATTTTGATACATCGATAAATAATATAGATAAATATGCATCGTGTCGATTCATGTGTTATTCGTAATCGATAATTTTCGATCGAATTATTTTATTTTTTTTTTTTCATCAACTTTATATCTTCATATCTTCTTCATTAATCCATGATGTCATTTATTATTTGAAAGAAAAAAAAGAAAAATACACGAACGTTATACATCTACATGAGTGAAAATTTCACCTCAACAAGAAATGTTAGCCTCGATGATCTAAAACTATCTAAACGTTACACAATCTAATAAATACATAAGTGCATCGCCTCCGCTTGGTATAATTATCGCGGATCGCGTGAACGTGTAATTGAACGTTGAACAATTATCAAAGATGCATATGGTGGATACGTAGACGAAACGTAACGTGAAATTCGTGTTTGCGATTTCAGACATGGCGCCGAGAATCACTGTCGAGACAATGCGAGACTCCGGTCAGAAGGACAGGATGTTATTGACCCGTGGTCGTGGCAGAGTCGGAGTCGTGACAGAAGGAAAGGAAAAGCAAAATGAGAACGGTCAATGCTGGTATGTGCAGAGTGAGGCGAGGCAAAGAAAATCTCGAATACCTGCGCGATCCTTCGAGAATGCGGCTCCAGTTATTATATACGATTCGCATTACCGTTATACGTGTGTCGTAGGATTGGGGGACAATTTGCCTTGAACTGCTTCAACTTACTATCGTTAGTCAACCTTGTGCAATATTAGTCGTACATTGATTTATCTTATTGCGAAAAACACGAGATTTTATCGAGTTGCAAAATATTTCGATATACCAATGCATTAGAGGAATGCGTCAATGATGATGATGCAATTACGGAAAACAAAATATATATGAAATATACATTCATCATATAAACAATACTTTTTTCTTTCCATTTTTATTTTTATTTTTTCAAACGCAGGGAAAATTTCTCCTTTCTATGAGATACAAATAATCCAAATTCGAGAATATGAAATTTCCAAAAATTACATTTTTTAAGACCGAAGACATTGTATTTTTTTTTGCAAATGGACACACACATATATATATATATTTTTATGGTGTTGAGAGTGAAAATTATTCTCGCATAGTCTCACTTACTCTTAACTTACTCTTACTTGTAAAAAATGGAATTATTGCAAAATATTTTGTTAAGTTTTGTTCGCAAAGTATGATTTATGGAATTTAATTGTCTGCTTAAGAAAGTAAAGAAAGAACAAGGATTTAGAAGCTTAAATAAATTTAACAAACATAAATTTTTATTCTTTCTTTAAACTTTCTTTATAAGTGCGTCTCTCGAATTTGGCTCGAATTGTTTCCATCTTAATCCCTTCTTAATCCCTCGTCTGCTAGGTAAAGTAAAAATTTCTACAGGTAAAAGAAGAAAGAATTGTTCGAGAAAGAATTGTGTACCTTCTTATGATTCTTGGATACATTATTACTTAGAATTTTACTATCTTTTATAATTAACATTATCTAACATAACAGAACTGCGATATCACAGATACAATATCCGATATAATATTCACTCGTCGATCTCGCAAATTTTATTTATCAAATGTATTATCCTATCTTTATTTTTTATAGTTTATAATGAATTCGCATGAATTTTTTTTTCGTTGATAAGTGATATTTATTCGATGAATTTGACTCGATAATGCAAAAAAGAAAAAATTATGAAATAGAATTTCTTTCCAATCTAAAATACAAACTATTATGCATTATAGAAGATATTTTTGATTTTTTTTTTAAAAGATATGAATGTATAATAATAATCATATCGTGACATATAATTAATACTCTCAAAATTATCATGATATTATTATTATTATTTTTGTTGTTGTTGTTTTTGTTTTTGTTTTTGTTGTTGTTGTTGTTGTTGTTATTTACAATATATATATATATAATATATAAACAAATTATAAAAAGCAAATATTTTTCAAACAGATATTTTTGATATAATTCTTGATATCATATAAATATATTTTTATATTTTTATATGTATACGCATACTTAGATATAATATAAAAAATATTTTTCTTATTTCCACATTATTCATATTATTTCCTTTATTTCGATCTCTTTATCTCTTTCGATCACTTCGATTTAACGTTTTCTAGTTTTTTATAATAAAAGATTTTACACGTGACATATATGTCTAATTGTATCTATATATATATAAGGAAAAATTCATACAGATTTTCCAATTTTTACGGTATTAATATTATATGCTTACGTTAGAATAAGGAACAGATTCAATTATTTATTTTTTATCAAATTAATGTGGACTAATTTTTATAATTACATTATATTTATACATTAATTAATTTTTAATTAATTAATTACATTATACGATTATAATTAGAACTCAAAACATGCTTGGTTAAATTCAAAATATGTAATATAATAATGTAATATATATGGTACATAAAGGAATCTATCATTTGTTATTTCGTCAAATTATTTTGAATCGTAAAAACTTAAATTTTTGATCAATGTAAATTCGATACAACGAATATGAATAATGTACGCGAGTGAATATTTATCAATGGGAAAGGGAAATGTAGATATGAAAATCTTTAACCTTTAGACGTGAGATTATTATTATTATTATTATTTTGATTCAATTATTATAAAACAATTTATAATAAACTACTTTTATTTTTAAATCGCTCTATCAAATCAAATTTTATTAACATATAAATTGTTTAAATTTATCTAAAATATAGAAAATAATCGACAAACATTATACATAATATTAAATAATAATTGTTTGTGAGATATAATCAAAAAATATATATATACACATATATATATATATGTATATGTATATATATATGTATATGTATATATATATATATATACATATATATATATATATATATATATATATATATTGT